AATGTGTCAGTGAGTGATGACATCATCATGATCCCACAGTCTGCTCTTCTAGTGCCTGCTGATCTGTGTCAGTGTTGGTAGTGGTGAGTTGTGTCAGATCTGTCACCGTGTGGGATCGCTCAGTTCAGCTGCCTGCTGTCAGAGCATTTTATCTCCCCCCTATGCCTGGGGAATTCCAGCCTGGGATCTGTCAGTGTGGGATCCATCATCCTCCACTCACTTCAGCTGTCATCCTGCCACTGCCAGCCACAGATACAGTCCATCCATGACACTGATTTTGTCTTTAATATTGGTGCTGGTAGCATCTTATGGCACTTATTTTTGCAAATTAAAAGAAACTTAGCAGTTTCATGTTTTGTTGATTTAATATTTTCTACTGTTTTTAAAAAAATGTTTTTTTTGGGGGGGGGGGGGACGCAAGTAACTGGTCCTTTCTAGGGAGCAAAATAATCTAGCACTGGCCCTGCCTCCTATGGGCAAACAGATACACTCTGACACGAAGCATCAATAAACTACCACAGTGCTCAACAGTGCATTGGTAGTTCATTGAGAACTACCAGCTGACAACCACAAAGGATGTCCAAATTTGTAGTTTTCCCAATCACAGAATACTGTGTATGAGTGACATAGCCGGGTTGGCGGAGCTCTGCATGGCCACTTTTTAAGAAAAATTCTGACAGCTAGCGGGGGGGGGGGGGGGGGGGGTGAAGATGAAGATACCCCGCTAACTGTCAAAACGGGGGATCGGGAGGGAGCGGGGCCGGTCCTTTTGAAACATGTTACACCTTGAATATGGGTGTAACATGTAATATGTTACAAAAGGCGAACTTATCCTTTAGTGCCTACTATCTCCAGTCATTCTTATTGATTTACATTTATCTCAGTACGGTACCTTTGGTTCGTAGGGGCTGATTTTACTTCTGGTTTGCAGTATATAAATATACATATCTTTTTGATGCTCACATTGAGCCGTCTTTCTGCCATGATCCCACATCCCTCTTTCCCCTGCCCTATGTACAGAGCAGCCATTCCTACTGCAAACCTCAGTTTTACGTTTCAGCTTGGAAGTAGCAGCTGCTATAATCCAGAATTCAGGCTGTTACAATAGCAAACTTAAAAATTAAAAGACTTGGTTTGTATGTGTCTGAACTTGTCCAGTAATATTACATTTTCTCAGCAAACCATAAAAAAAAGGTAAATAACCATCACACAGCTGTAGTTTGGGTCATAGCTCAGCCAAAGACGCGTCTCCTCATCTCCCTCCCCAGCTTCCACACCTACCCCTGTAGGAGCTGTACACCCACCAGGGCCCCTGTTCATACAGTCGGTCCTGCATGGAGTACCTGAGGACAGCATTCAGGAGACATCTCCACACCATAAACATCTGATTTACAAAAAAAGATTAGATAAGGATTAAGGAAAAACATCCAAGAATTAAAAATACTTCTACAAATTCCAGATGAGTACATCTTCAGTTTAAAGCCCCACTATGGCCAAAATAGATTTTTTAGCTTTTCAGCTACAGACCACATCTGAACCTCTTTGAGGAAATTCTGTAGCTTCCCGTGCCAGCTAACCCCTAGAAATAAAATGTCTCCAATGGGGACACAGATAGTAATAAAACTTGCAAAATGGCAGAAGTAAGGAGTGTTAGATCTCCTGCTATGAGCTCTCTAACATACAGGCTGAATATGTTCTTGTAGCAAAGTAGAAGAATACGTAAAGGGGGTGTGGTACTAAAAAGATCTGCCCAGATCAAATTCAGTTAAAAATGGCAATGTGTTTACACATTTTAAACATTTCAGAGGGTTCCAAGGATTTGTATTTATCCAAAGAGCGAAATGTAGCTAACAAACTGATATTGTCAGAATATACTGCTGCCATACAGCAGATACCTATACTTTTCCCCTCCCCCAACACACTTTTCTGCTCATTGTTCTGTCTACTCCACCTTGATGGATGGCGAAATTTGGTTGCTCGGGGTTATATTACTTGTCTTTCTTTATAAATGTGTAAAAAATGCCAATTGCAAACTAAAAAGAAGTATACGATGACTGAGAGGCGGCAGAGGAATACACGCTGGGGCATGTCGAAACCCCAGGGGACATAAGACAGTGTACACAGGAGACAAAACCTTTATCAACTTTGTATCATATCCAGACAACAGATTCTCCATGTAATGGCACCATGGCATTCATGGAGCCATGTGACCGCATACTGACAGCTTGAATCACTATAATTCTACGACTCTGCCTCTGGGAGTCATGGCTGAAGGAGCTTTAATTTGATTGGTTGTTGCCTGTTAACAGATTTTGAACACAGTTTTTGTCATCTGTGCTGGTCTGTTTAAATAGCCAGTCTAGATGTTGAAGTGTCAAAAGTTCTGTTTCTCTGCTGCAGCTTTGTTTATAGTTGATCCATTAACATCAAGAGTGAAATATTAAACTGGCCCTACGGAGCACGAAGGGGGCCCTTTCCTATGTCAGATGCAATTCAATAGAAGAAGTGAAATCAGCGAATCAGAGAGGCATCTATACCAGTCAGAAAGTTGGCTTCATTCTGGGAGGTTTCCTGGTCATTGAACAGAGCAGGGGTGTGAATACTTTAGTTTTCACCAGAGACAGGTTCGCTAGTGTCAAATGGCCTGAGTTATGCTATGTTAATTTATTTCAGCTTAAGCTATTGTGCAAACAACATGCTATTTTCAGCAGAGCAGCTAAGAACAGAGAGGTAGGCATGTGAAAATAAAAATATTTATAAGCAATATTTCATTATAAAGCGGTTCTAAAGGCTGAAGGTTTTTTTTACCTTCAGGCATGCTATGGCTTAGCCTCCTCCCCCTTATACTCACCTGAACCTGATCCTGATCCTGCAATGTGCACAAGAGCAGACGTTCTCCCAGTACTTTGCCTCCTCATTGACTGAGAGTCAGCAAGAGCCATTGGCTCCCACTGCTGTCAATCACAGGCAGTGAGGAGGGAACTGGGGGCAGGGCTGAGCCACGCTGTGTGAATCTCATAGATACAATGAGGTGGCTTGGGAGTGAGCAGGAATGAGTGCCCTCAGAGCAAGCTGCTTGCTCTAGGGGCACTCAGCAGGGGGGAGGGACCTGCAGCACCTGTGGGGGACCCAAGAAGAGGAGGATTGGGACTGCTTTGTACAAAACCATTACACAGAGCAAGAAAGTATAACATGTTTGTTACTTTAAAAAAAAAATCCAAAGCTTTATAATCACTTTAGGCTGAAAACAACCCCTATAACTTTAAAATGTGTCTACAAAGAAAAAACATTTTTAAAGATTTGAAAATAGTGAAGCCTCAGCTAGGTTTTTATGGATGTCCCATGGAGAGATTCAACTCCTCTATTTGTTCTGGTGCCACCAGGATGGCAAATGATGGGAAAAGTAAAAGAAAAAAATCTTCCCGTGGGGACATCTCTTCTGCTGAAAACTAAGGCTTCATACTAGCTTTGCTCTCTGAAGAGTGATCCACATTCAGATCACTTTTCAGATCATTTGACAGGAGGTGAGGAGGTGTTGTACTGACTCTGCACTGCCTGCTTTAACCCTTTCAACCCCGCACTAGTGCATCAAAACTGCATGCATTGTGCGTGGTTGCAGAGCGGTCCCATTCACTTGAATTGGTGTCATTTGGTGGGCAGTAGCACCTGCCAAAAGCAATAGGGGGTTTAATTCCTGCTAAACAAATCATAAAGCCCATAGCATGTGTACCTTCTTGGCCGCTGGCGCTGCAGTTAAAGTGTGAATGAGCCCTAAGAGTGGATTCCATCTCATTTGGACAGATTTCCTCTCACTTTTTGTTGTATCACTGGGACAGGAAGTGAAGGAAAGCAAGACCACTAGAACACAGAGAGCAAAAAAGGCTTTCAACTCTTCCAGCCAAAACTAAAACGCTTTGGCTTTAGACACTGTAAATTTTATTCCAACTGATGAAAAATGGCTAATGAATAGGATTTGTAAATCCTGGCAAAATCACCTGCTGAGGAATGGGTGTTCCCAGATTACTGCAGACCAGAGCATTCCACACAACGGCCTGTTTACTTTTTTTGCGGTGCATAAACGCATGTGCGTTAAGCCGTGTATTAAAACAGTCCATTGAAAATAATAGACTGCCAATGCAAAACACCGCATTGAGGTTTGTTACATTTCAAGTGTGTGTTCATTCAAGATGAATGGCAACACATTATGTGCATTACCACAACACAGAAGTGTAAATGGGCCTTGAGGGATAGGCTGGTGTACTTAGACAATGCCACATAGCACAATGCAAGCTCTTGTTCCTGCAGTGTATTCCCACCATACATTTTCCAGTCTGGCTGTATTTACCTTTAACATTCACAAGAATGCAGCCAATCAAGTTGCGGCACTGACAGCCACAAGCAGGATTACTCTGAATCTGGGTGGAGTCTGTGCTCTATACCGTGTCCATGATTCATATAAAGGTCTTGTTTTTACTAATCCTTCACTATTTGAAACAAAAAATGATAAAAAAAAAGTCCTGATTTGGGTAAAAGTTCACAATGGGATTTCCCTCCTCTAAATATATAGAATGTTTCAGTTTAGGCAAACAGGAAACATGGCTGACCCACTCAGGGATTCTGTGATTTTGCTGTAATCCCACATCCACTTCTTTTCTGTCTGCAGTCTAATGGTCTGGGGCGGGATTCCCAGACACACCCACTTCCAGCTCCTTGTGGTCTCTTACATACAGGACATCTGACATATCAAAATGCCGACACACCACCGATCACATTAAAATCTGCCTTAGGAACTTTATGATTGGTGATAGGGTTTTATTTATTTCAGGTACTTATATAACGCCATCAATTTACGCAGTGCTTTACATATATATTGTACATTCACATCAGTCCCTAATCCTCAAGGGGTGTACAATCTAAGGTCCCTAACTTACATTCATACATACACATACTAGGGCCAATTTAGACAGGAGCCAATTAACCTACCAGCATGTCTTTGGCATGTGGGAGGAAACTGGAGTAGCCGGAGGAAACCCACGCAGGCACAGGGAGAACATGCAAACTCCAGGCAGGTGGTACTGTGGTCGGGATTTGAACCAGCGACCCTAGTACTGCCAGGTGGAAGTGCTAACCATTTAGCCACTGTGCTGCCCTAATCTAAAGGGTTGGATCTAGCCTGTCCTATGTGGGGGTGCAGTAAAAAATGTCAGGGGGGCAGAGGATGGGAAGTCAGCAGGGCAGAGGACAGGGGTCACTGCTGGCAGGGCAGAGGACAGGGGTCACTGCTGGCAAGGCAGAGGACAGCAGTCACTGCTGGCAGGGCAGAAGGCAGGGGTCACTGCTGGCAGGGCAGAGGACAGAGGTCACTGCTGGCAGGGCAGAGGACAGAGGTCACTGCTGGCAGGGCAGAGGACAGGGGTCACTAATGGCAGGGCAGAGGACAGGGGTCACTGCTGGCAGGGCAGAAGACAGAGGTCACTGCTGGCAGGGCAGAGGACAGGGGTCACTGCTGGCAGGGCAGAGGACAGGGGTCACTGCTGGCACGGCAGAAGACAGGGGACACTGTTGGCAGGGCAGAGGACAGGGGTCACTGCTGGCAGGGCAGAAGACAGGGGTCACTAATGGCAGGGCAGAGGACAGGGGTCACTGCTGGCAGGGCAGAAGACAGGGGACACTGTTGGTAGGGCAGAGGACAGGGGACACTGTTGGCAAGGCAGAGGACAGGGGTCACTGCTGGCACGGCAGAAGACAGAGGTCACTGCTGGCAGGGCAAAGGACAGGGGTCACTGCTGGCAGGGCAGAAGACAGGGGGCACTGTTAGCAGGGCAGAGGACAGGGGTCACTGCTGGCAGGGCAGAAGACAGGGGTCACTGCTGGCAGGGCAGAGGACAGGGGTCACTGCTGGCAAGGCAGAAGACAGGGGACACTATTGGCAGGGCAGAGGACAGGGGTCACTGCTGGCAGGGCAGAAGACAGAGGTCACTGCTGGCAGGGCAGAAGACAGAGGTCACTGCTGGCAGGGCAGAGGACAGAGGTTACTGCTGGCAGGGCAGAGGACAGAGGTTACTGCTGGCAGGGCAGAGGACAGGGGTCACTGTTGGCAGGGCAGAAGATAGAGGTCACTGCTGGCAGGGCAGAGGACAGGGGTCACTGCTGGCAGGGCAGAAGACAGGGGACATTACTGGCAGGGAAGAAGACGGGTCACTTCTGGCAGGGCAGAAGACAGGGGTCACTGCTGGCAGGGCAGAGGACAGGGACCACAGCTTCTACTTTCATCCCTGCACTGCATACAGCCTATGCACAGGCAGCAGAGCTCCTCATCCCCACACAATGCATAACTGAGATCAGTATAGTGTCAGTCAAGGACAGTGTCAGGCTAGGGCGGCATAATGTCAAACTAGGGCGGTAAAGTATCAGTATTGTATTGGTATTGTGTCAATTTAGGGAAGTATAGTGGAAGGTTAGGGTTGGCTTTGAGGGGGGCACAACTAAATTCTGGGGTGGCATAACCCACTCCAGCACCCCCCTAGATTCAGCCATGATTGGTGATAGAAACAACAGGCAGAAAATTACACAGCACAAATCCAGGAAGCTGACCCACCCACTCCAAATGTGAGGAGCTCTTTGGATTCTAGCTGCTGCAGCTCTCAGACTGTCCAAATGCAATTTAATTTGTTCTGGAAAGGAAATAACAAACACAACGTATTAGGGGGAACTCCGCTGGGTAATATAGTTGCCAATAAACATGTACAATAAAGGATTTTGCGCATATACCAAAGGCCACAAATCAGCTCCTTAAAGCTGGTGGAGAGCCTCAAATCAGGAAGAATTATCTCAGCACATGAAATTGCATGTGATGTCATGGCTAGTTTTTCGTTTGTATCCCACAGTGGTTAATTGAATTACATTTTCCCTTGCTGCATTTTAGAAAGATTCCACAGCCAATTGGAAATTATCACCGAATTGCCAAAATCTCACCACAGTGAGTTTCAGCTCGAAGATCAGATGTATTGAGCTTGGCAAGTTTCTGTCACCGTTATGACTCACAGAGGATGCCGGGTACAGCTTGATCTGCAGACAGGAGACGTTACCTTGAAGGAAGGTCGGGAAAGAAGATCTGTGGATTGGGAGTGAAATGGCTGGATGGGCGAGCTGAGACACGCAGCCATGATCTACTGACGAACTTCCCTGAACCGAGATCTACAGAGAATGCCAAGCATGTGGCCTTCACTTCTGAGCCTGTAAACCATACAGTATTGGGAAGGGAATTAGCTGTTTTCTCTTCACCAGACTTACCATAAGGCCAAATAGAACGTGAAATGTCTTCCCTCAGCCTGGTCAGTCACCAATGAGCTTTTATTTACCAGTAACCCAGCAAGGTAGCAAGTGTAACCACATGAAAATGGTTCTTTATTACTGGGGAGAGGAACATCACAGCCATTCCCGATTCTTATCAAGATTCTGGATTCCTTCATCCTGGTCTCTATTCAAGTGACCTGGAACAAGGGGACAGCCATTGAAGGCTAAAACCTGCATGCTTGTTCCAGGTCAGGGATGGGAGAACAACAGCACTAAAGTCTGCATCCTCAAAAAGTACAAAAATATTTTTGTGGAACGTGCCGATTAAGAAAGAAGGCTTTAACCTCCCTAGCGGTCTGATTATGTCAGTATTTCTGTGCTCAAAGCGGTACATTTTTTTGCATGGAAATATGATGTTTTTTTATTGTAGGCCTGTAATTCTTAGGAATAACTCACTGAAATCTGTCCGAACAAGAGTCTAGTAAACATCCCGGGTATGAACAAATTTGAAACACGAAATCATAATTTATAATAAATAATCATAAAAAATAATAATAATAAATTTAATTCAAGAATGTAATCAAACCAAAAACACTGAAATTTGAAATATAGCGCCAAGTTCGCACATCACTGAGCAAAGTCACAAAATCATTTTCAGTGTCTGATGACGAATTTCCCCACGAATCATTATCACTCAATTCTGCAAGTGGTTCTGATTTACTATCGCTGTTCTCTAGCTGGTCTAACACTGCTTTTGATCTAAAGGGACGCTTTTTGGACGCCATGAATGTTTCTCAGTTTCCAGGCAGAAAGAACAGTAAAAATGCAGGCAGGGCACAGGACAAAGCACTCGGGAACAATGTATGTGAAATGCTTTAATACAGTAATGTAATACTATCAGATTTTAGTGTATTGAGTGAATGTCACATTAAAAATTTTTTGCATTTCCTGCCGGTTCCGTCCCCTGTACGTCCCATATGTCCCATATGGGACATTCCCATATGGGAATGAAACCCGGAAGACGGATGCCGGCATCAGCCGGAGGACATGGCTGGGGATGCTGCAGGGGGGACATTGCGGGAGCGCAGGACAAGGTAAGTGCTGGAGGGATCCCAGAGCAATGCTGCAGTGTAATCCCGAGTGTAACTCGGGGTTACTGCTTTTGGTACTGAAAGTTAACCCCGAGCTACACTCGGGAATACCAGGTAGGTTAATGTGGACCTGTCATTAAAGGTCAAAATCAAACATGACATATATGATGCAGTCTGTTAGTAGCATCAGCAGAGAATTTTTATTTTTTTTAATCCCCTGCAACATAATTTTATGACCTGTTTATTCTGTCGGTAGAATATTCATTTTTATGCTTTCTGTAACAGGGTGACAATATTGTTTGTTCTGCAGTGAAATAGCACAGTAGTGTTGTCACCCTGTGGACAGGGGAAGCTTAGATGGATATGTATTTTTTAATGCACTTTAAAAGAGAAACATGGATATATATAGCCTGAAAGCTTTGCTCTAAGACACACAACTCTTATCCAAGTATATAATAGCCAGTGTTATATTGTTGTACCTGATACACACTCTATAGACTGTGATTTTTAGATACACAGCAAATATATAGGTGATTGGAGTTGACATATGTCTGTTACATAGATGACTAGGCACAGGCCTTGGATGCAATATGGCAGACAATTTGGGCTGTACCAATTTTCCAAAGTCACGGTTTCCATACTGCAATGATGATGGTTAAGCAGCCTGAAACAGTTGTATGCAATATATAAATGGCTCTATAATATTAGGATATACTGTATGTGCACTAAACACCAGCAAGACAAACGCGGGTCAGACCACTGCCCTTGTCACCAACTTGTGACAAATGAATGGTCAATCTCACACCATGCTGTCACTGATATGCAACACTGACACTCTCAGCCTCACCATGCACAAAGATTTTCCAGCTTGCAGCACCACAATTTAAGTGCCAACAGATTGAGAGCGATTGTCACTGGTTTAAGGTAACTAAGCAATTAACCTTTTAAACAGTCACCAACTATTTTTTTACTGAGAAGTAGTAAATGTTCACAATGTTAGCAATAGCAACTAGGATTTTAGAAGTCTAGTACACACTGTCACCACAGACAGGTATATTCAGAGATTTACACAGTTTAGCGCTCTTCAAGAGACAGAGATTGTTTAACCCCTTGAAGCTGTCACACAAATATGCGGCCTCTGGGCTTTTTTCCACAGGGCTGCATATTTGAGTACCTGTCATTGTGCTTGCACACGGTGCGCTCCCAGCAAAAAGACCAGGGTGTCATTGAGAGCCCTGGCTGCCGTACTAAACGATCGGGACCTGGAACTGCTGATTCCGGGTCACCTGCTCGCTGTTATAGCCTTTGATTGGCTATCACAGTGATCAGTCACTGTGAAGCCCATCCCCATGTTTTCTCTCTGTCTGAATGGAGGAGATGTATCTCTCTCTCTCTCTGTTTCTCTCCTTACAGAGAAAAAAAAACATTGTGTCAAAAGAAAAATAAATATTAAAAAATAAAATAAAAAATAAAGAAAACATACCTAGATCAAGGTTTGATCTATGTCAGTGCCAGGATAAGTTTTTGGGTCAAAATCAGGGTCAAAGGTTTTTTTTTTTTTAATTAGTATCAGTGTCAGTGTTTTAGGTAGCACGAAAAAAAAAAAAAGAAAAGCAAAATGCACACTATTGTTTCTGGGCTGTACTACAGGTACAACCAACAAATAACATACACATATGTGGCTAAAACTGCGATCGCCAGCAGCTGGAGAAATGATTTTGGTTTGTTCTTTGCTGGTAGGGTATGGTAGAGTAACAACAAACGCACAGCTAAATTTAAAAACAAAAGTTTTTTTTTACTATTTGTGTCAGTTTTCCTTTGATAATAAAAAGAAAATCAAGAGATAGCCATTACCATTTACCACCAAATGAATTAATCCTGAAAAAAACAAGGTATAATCTACCTGGATACACAAAGTAGTTGTGATGATATGTACGGTTTTACTAATACATGTCAAAGTTGCAAAATTTTACTTAGGTATTAAGATTTGTTTTACCCTTAGGTATGAATTGGTTAAAGAGGGATTGTTTAAGTTTGCATTAGCGCATTAGAGATATTTTTAACACTTTTCAAAATATGGTTATATAATGAAAAGGTAAAAAAAATGGTCCAATTAAATATATATATATATATATATATATATATATATAAAAAAAAAGTGGTTCT